TATTATTATTATTATTAATAATATCATTATCATTATTACAATATAATATTCCAGAACGATGGAAAAAGTCTTATTATCACTATCGCTAAAAACGAAAATCCAACAATTATTAACAAGTAATAATTTTTAGAATTTCACACGTTGCACCATGCAAAAATAATCGAACGACAACACGTAGTTGCATAGTACTCACTACATGTAATGGCTGTCATGAATGAAGCTGTACTCGCTGGAAAAATAGAACAACGAACAGGAGATCAGTTGCAAAGAAAGAGAATGGCACGTGATTTTACCTGAGGAAACGGGCCAGCATCCTCCTCGAGTTTTCGGTATTCTTCTCTAACCAAATCGAGCACGCGATTTTCGTTCTGATCGAATAGTATTCAGAGTCGACTAGGCTACTCATCGGCACCAACGCCGAACTCTCTGTTGAACACTTGTCGTTCATTTCTACGTAAGGCGCAACGATGCTCTGGCTTTTATCTTTCATGTTTGAACGTACTTGCAATTCGAAAAATCACGAAATCGAGTAGTGAGAAATTCTATTTCTTCAGAAGCAATTCGTATAGACGTGTGTTGAATGCGAATGCACTGGATGACCGGAAAACCGGTGTTTTTATAGGCGAAACGACCTCACTCGAACAAGGAAAAAACAACAGAAGAATGGAAGTGAAAATACATGTAATAGGTTCAGTAAATTAAAATCTTGAAAATACATGTGTTTGCAAACTCTATTGACCACATGTTTCGTTTCTGCACACTTCGTGTCGTAATATTTTTCACACCATGTTTTTAACACTACGACATTCGCAGAATACCTTTATCACTGACAATGAGAGAATTTCCATTCCTGATTTCTCCAATTCATATTCTATTTGTCTGCGTGACGAATAAAATAATGAAACCTAACGAGCGCGGTTTAGACGAAAAACGCAGGATCTCGAATTTTCGAAGAATTTGTCTCGACGTCGAGAGGACTTCATTATCGCGCAAAATGAACGTGCGATTTACACAGTAAACTCCGGATGGTTAAACCACAGATTAGGCTCAATTAGAACCATTGATGCACCACGATGATCGTCGTGGTGACAATTTTTTAATTCAATTTAGCAGATATTTAAAGCACGGTTACGTAAAAATTAAATAAGCTAAACTTGCTGGTTTTCACTCTCGTAAGTTTCGATTCTTTTGCTCGAAATAATAATTTCCTTTAACGAAATACCAATGTCTCTCGAACAGCAACGTCACACATTATTACACTATTGCGCACAAAGGGGCACAATTGGGGAGAAACATGTTTTTCAAGAGAAGCAAGTAATACACTTCTTGATATTCGTTCACAGTGATAGTGAAGACGAAATTTATAATAAGAAATATTATACATACAGAATACAGTACAGTGTCGCATGAATCGTAAAGAGCAACATAATTACAAAGATCAACGAATAAGATTTTCGCAATTGATATCTCTGCAGTGATAGTTTTACACTGATAATTCGAAAATCGCGCTCTTCGAATTGTGTAATGTTTCTCGACGAACATGTATATATACGCGACGTGTGTATTATAAGACGATTGTAAGACGATGTGTATTATAAGATTGTACGTAGAGTGACGAGATGATGAGAAGGAAAGGTTTCTATTTAAAAAGAAAAAAAAAAAAAAAAAAAAAAAACGATCTTGTGAATATGTATCGTGCACTTGGAAGCATAATTTTCTAACTTCAAACTGAAAGAGAAAGCGGCGAGTCGCATTTTAAACGAGTTGTAACGATCCTTACCGTAAATATGCTTTGCGGAAATCAGAGAAATCGCCTACGAACGGTTCACTGAAGTCGAAGCTGTCCATTATGTCCTTTCTTCAGCGATCGATCGAACGCTAATCGTCCATCGTTCGACAAGAAGCTTTGTCCAACGTCTATTACCTTGGTCTATTTCAAACACTCTTCTTCGCGAAGGATCTGGTTTCTCGAGAGGCGAGCAAAGTTCTGAGAGGCAACCAAGGGACCATCCTTTGGATGTGTGTATTTAAATGAACAGCAATGACGTTCAGACAATCAATTACAACCTATGGGGTCGGGTCTCTGAAGGTCAGTGGTTCTCGATTAATATCGTCCTTTTAAATATCAATTGAAAGAGAAGAAAATTTTTTGAAAAAAAAAAGGAGTTCGTCATGACATTAAAATTACAATAGCGAAGTGTATGCGAGGAGATGCGAATTCGACGTAGTTCCCTTGGAAATGATGTGAATGACACGCACGTTAATTAGAAATTACGAAAAGCAGGAGGAATAAACGAAAGATGAAGGGACATTACAGGAATAAATTAAAAAAAAAAAAAAGAAAAGAAACGTGATATATTATAATTAAAAAAAAAAAAAAATTGTAATATATTTGAAAACATGAATAGCTTGAATTGTTATAACTGTGAAGGCAAAAGTATAAAGAGGAAAATAACCAAAGGAATAAGTTGTAAAAGAAAGTGTAATTTTCTTCAAAAATACGAATAACACGAATTATTAAAACTAGGATTATAATCGAATTAGTTACAAAAGGAGAAAGAGAATAATAATTGAAAAGTGGAAGGCAGGATATTGGAAAAATGAATTTAAAGAAAATACTACAATTTTCTTTTTTTTTTTAAATACAAATTATACAAATGATCAAAGTTCCGATTACACGATGATAGAAAAATGGCGGGGGAATGTTAGAGAAATAAGCTTAGAAAATAATATTCTTTCAAAAATACGAATGACACGAGTCACAATGAGATTTGAATAGAACTGAAAGAATAATTGTGTTTCCTTCCTCTTTGTTCAATGATAATTAATAATTCTTCGAACGAGATTGAGAACCGCCAGTATCGGTTACTTTGGATTTATTGGCACTCGATTGTGCTCCATTTAAATAGTATCTAAATGAAGAATCTATTCGTTGTTACGACAGAAACGATCCTCTATTTTTTTTTTCTTTTTTTTTTTTTTTTATCTAAATGGACGAAATGAATAGACGTCTGCGGAGATTATTGTATCCATTGGTGTGGTTCAAATGCTTTGTGACTTCGTTCGTTTGCTCCAATTATGCAATCGAAATTGTTCCATTACTTTCCATGGCTTAACTTGCAGGGATATTTCTTCTGTCGTGTCACGCTCGATCATTTCGAAATGAATTAATTAGACTGCGGATGTTTAGTCCAAAGTGCGTAATTTGTATGCTCATAAATTATGCAGATATTCGCGAAATTTATATGAATTTATGAGGTAGTAAATAGAACTTAGTGCAATTCAGAGATTGATATAGCACAAAATTTGAAATTTAGCACAAGCAAAAATTTACAAATAGAAAATATATAATTTTATGAGTATTATATTCAGCAAGCTTTATGACGATTTATTTATGGCGAAACTAATGTAATTAACATTATAATAAGTTATGTTTATTAATCAGTTTGTCTGCTGACATCATAAAATGTGAAAAGTGGTTAGTTGTATTAGCAATCAAATAGATGTGAAAGAAATATTTATTATACTATACGTATATATTTTTCAACTAAAATATGCAAAACATGAAAAATAATTACCATAAACATTCGCAGTCTGCTAATAATTTATAAAAAAAAAACACAATACTTTAACAGTGTCTGTAATAAAATAAAAAAAAAAAATTCAAAATGAATAATGTATATTTATTAAATCGAAAAATTGGCCTCTATTTTTTTTCGAATTACAAATTAAGAAATGAAAGATCAACTTTTCAGACTCAAACATCATTCACATACAATTTATGAACTATGCTCTGATATTAAATTGTAATATTGTCTAAATTGCCAAAATTTATCGAATCGCAAATGAGAGGAGATGAAATTCTTGCTTATGCGAAATGAAATCTCATAATGTATCATATATGAATTTCCATCGTTATGCCTTGCGCGATCTAACGTCGCAGTATCTCTCGCGGTCGAAGTTATGCGAAATCAGAGAGTATCGCGTAATTGCGGATCATCTTGCATGATTAAATGAAATACTATTCAGGTCGTATTGCTAGGTCATTTCGTGGCAATAAATAAACAACGAAAATGCGTTCTTTTCATTGAAACGATTAAATCAACGTTCATTATAATTATAAATTAAAAAAATTATCAAACAACTTGCTACTGCTCTTCTGGGCGAGTAAAAAGACATTTATTTTATTTATTTATTTGAAAAGTATATATTAAGATACGATATATAAAAGAGAAATGAAAACATACATGAATAAATATAAATAAAATCAAAATTAAAATACTGAGATCAATTAAGGATCAAATTGATCTGCGATGATGTCTCAATGCGCTGAGAAGCACATTTGCATTCAAATTTTAATTCGTGACATACTTGGAAACGTATGTTAATTTTAAAATATACGTCATGCTTTTGAAAATGAATTTCTATATTGTTTTGTCTGAAATTGAACTTGTACTCCTTTTCCCGCCCATACTGAGAATTAATAGTTATCGAGTTTAGAAAAAAAAAAAAAAGGTAATGGATCAATTACCGTGTTTGTGCTCGTTCTAATTCTAAGGCACTTCCAAATGCAGCGTCCAAGTATTTTACACTTCCCAACTTGTTCGACGCTGCTCGTCTCTGAAACAATACAGAAAAATGTTAGAACAAACATTTCCAGCATTTCACCTCGCTTTATCGTTATAACGTTGGCAGATATTGTTCAAGTTACGCTCCATTTAAATTTTATTTATTATTTTCTAACTTGTATCTAATCGTTATACCAACGGAGCCATCACTGGGACTGCGAACATTTTATTTAAAAATAAAATTAATAAAATTTTAATAAAATTAAAATGACGACAGAAATAGCTTGATCTTCGCAAATGACCTTTGCAAAGGCCATCGTGTCAAAGTCCTTTAAATAATTTTAACAAATACATTTCACATAATTATGACGTGATTATCACGAGTGAATTGAACGAAACCTCTGGCAGGAATTTCTTTGAAATTATCTGACCAATATAAAAATGGTATATCGAAGCGTTGTATCTCAAAAATTAATTACTCGACTCGAAAATCGTGACGATGTCTCATCATGCCACACTGTCATTTCACAGTTGCACAGGATTTAGTTTTCAAAATCGAAGGATCAAACGTCTCATTTCTCGGTCACTCTGTTTGCCTTAGGCTGCTACGTTTTTTAAATTGCGTTTATACAAACATGAAATTGCACAATGATTCAGAGTCTAGTCTTTGAGAGTTTTCTCCACGTTGTAGATATTCGTTCATGCTCGTAAGACTGGTTTATAAAAATGTCTTCTACTGTGAAAAAAATGAACTCCAGTCTGCCTTTTCAAGGTTGAGTCTGCCTTTTATATTGTTGTAAAGAGAAAGGAGCACTGTTCCGCTTTCTGGCAACCGGTCCAACGATCGATGGACGAATTTTGGGGTCGGTGAAGTATGCTAGGGGTGCAAAACGCCGGTTGCCAGGCAATTCCGTATTGATCCTTGAATGAATCAACTCTTACATACCTAAGCTGAAACCTGTCACGTGTATATCAAACGTTAATTCAGTAGGATCAGTAGGATCTGTGAAAACGACAATTGTTCATTTCACAGGCACGATGTTTTAATCCATTTTCTCAAACTTTTAATTTATTTTATTCTTTTCATTTATTTCTCAAACGTTTAATTTAACAGACGATGGCTCAAAGAGTAATTGACTCGAAGTTGAAAATTTGTGTATTTTACATTTTCTCCAATTAATTAATGTTCGATGAAATTCACTGTAGAAATTATTCAATATATCATGTTAGGAAAAATGACACGTACAGAGATGTTTCAAAAACAGAAAGAACAAATTATAATCTTTCAACCCTTTCCCCCCCCCCCATAATATTGGAGAAATCATCTCTATAAATTTTCCACGTGACTTTCAGTCGCAACCGAGGCGTTGTAACATCAAATAAAAAATATAAATAATAAAAATATAAATATAAATAACATAAATGACAACAGACGTGAGACAGTTCACTGGCGATCGTTGACATCAATTTATCGCGCAGTAATGCTAACATCGTCCAATTCGAACCACCAAGTTTACTCGAAGTGGGCCGCGTTTCAAGTATTTCTGTCGTTGAAATGGGCCATTGCCACCCACGTGGGCGAAACAGTGTTCACGTGCCTCCCCGGTTCTGATCGATATTTTTTTTCCCCTCTCGAACTGCATACATTTACATGGAAATGTCACCAATGTTTGTGTCAAAACATTCGCAGAATGTCAGGGTTGCAAATAACACGTACGACATTTTTGTCTATCGAGCGCACGTACGTTGAATACCTCGAGATGAAAGAACGAAAAGTTGGTCGATTTGGAAGGATATTTTTTTACGAAAAGAGTGGTAGCCTCACTGTACTCTGTCATTTCGAGCTTTCGTTTTATTGAAGAGGATTCGAATTCTGCTGTCGATTGGTCAATCAACGACGATTCTCGCTCGGATCTTCTAATCTGAATATCATCAAATAATCCATTTCATTCTCTAAATTCAATTGTCAGGGATAAACATTTTATCGCTTCTCGTGTCTACGTGAACATTTCTGTTTGTTCAAGGTCGTCTTCTAAACTATTCTCCAAGCCTAATTAATTTCTCTCCGTGAAACATGGAACTGAGATCCAAACGCCAAACTTTCTGTAATGTATCGAGCAATCAATGGAAATTCAATTGTCAACATGCATGAAACTGCAAAATTCACAACTTCCAATTAAATATTCTCGTATTACGATTGAGTTTTGATCGTGAATTGAATTGCTCGACATTTCCTTCGGTTCAAAAATCAGGATCGTTTGCAGAATTTAGAGAAATCTTTCGGTGTAATCGTGTGTCTTTACTAATACTAAATCAATCGATGAGACACCGGCACACGCACGGCACACAAGGCAATCCTCGAATCAATAAATCCAAGAAGTAGAATCCTTCCGAATTCTACTGATCATCCCTCGCACCTTATTGCTCGTGTGCAGCCTTCTGAGTCCGTTCGAGCCGACCTTGACGATCTTCAGCATCCTCGCGATCGCCTCGCTGTTCATTTCAAGCTTCAATTCCTCCAAAGCGCCAACACGAGCCAATCACTGTAACTCTCGGCTTCAGGGATCAACGCGATGATTCAGGTGGTTGATTCTTTTTTCTTCGATCTTGTTCTCGAGACAGAGAGCCACGCGAGAGACCCTCGACGTCTCGATAATGACGAGATACTGAGGCGAGAAAGGGTCTTTCGCCAGCAGGGGAGAGAAGCCGGTGTGAGAAGAGGGCACATGCGCGATTTCGACGCGGCACTGTGTGAAATTCACAGTCCATCTGATGGTTAGCTGGTTGATTATAGCGATCAAACGAGTTGGATTCTTCTTCTTATGGAAATCAAAAACTTCCATGAAAACTGATCTTCACAGGCAGGTCCATTCATTCA